TCATTTTTACTACCATGTTCTTTCTTTATTATAACTATTTATTTATTTTGCTAATATAGCTTCAATTTTTTATTACTATAATTTTTTGTTCTACAGAACGCTAATGCTAAAATATATCAGTCTTTGAATTTATTACATTGCTTTTATTATTAAAGTCATTCAATTTTATTTCATTCATAATTTTAAGCAATTTATTTAAGCTTGTTATTCTGCCAAGTACTAAAAGGTACCTTCTATAATTATTATCCAAATTGAGTTAAAAAAAGAAGCAAACTTATTGACCTAAATATCCGTTCTGTTTAAATTTGCTTTGTACTGGTCAATTCAATCCAAATTTTTATAAATTGCAATGCAATTTATGATTATTCATATTAAGATAATTGCGCGATTAAAGCATTTATTTAATTTCTGTTATCATCACTTCTTAACCTTTGTTTTATTTATCAAAATAAACTTAATTACATGTAGCGTTTTTATTACAGTAATTAAACAGCACTTTGCTGTGACAAATTTATCCTTGTAGTATCATCAATATTTCTTCATAATTTACTCTTGAAGAATAATCACTAATATCAATATTAAATTTGTCAGATATTTTTTGGCAAAAAAAAAAAAAAAACTATCACATAAAATTTTTCTAATCGTACTTTTACGGCCGATTTTATATAGCTTTTCAGCTAATTTGCACGAATAAATAATAGCAATCAAAAATGTATTTAAAAAAAATCTGTTTTTGTTTTCAATGCAATGCCAATTTATTGCGCACTAAAACAAGTCAATAATAAAAGGTTATAAATGTACGAAAATAAATAGATTTAAAATAAATTAAAGATATAATAATAAGTTTGATTGAAATTAAACAGAAATTTGTGCTTATTTCAATTTTGTTTATATATATTTGCTGATCAATCACTGTAAAAAATTTTTGGTTTTTTATCATACACCAAACTTTCACCGTTTCAAAAAAATTTCATACATCCATGCGTCCTTTCATTTACTCTTTATGGATATAAATTTTCATGGTCGATAATGATTAAATTGCAAACAAACTGGTATCTACGAATGTATGCCTTTCAGTAATTACTTAAGTAAAACAAGTTCTGATTTATATTTATTATTTCAGTAAATGAACGACAAATTATTGAAATTTATTTATTAATTTTGTTGACTTCTGTTGATTAAAAATGATATTTTTTTACAAATAGTATAATAAAATTTACATATTTTTATATTTAATCAAATATTTAACAATTACACTATTTATCACTATTTTTTAAATTATTCTTAAACAAATTTGATAGCAATCATTGCTAAACAAGTGATAATCATCACTGATTACCATTTATTTAGCAAATATGATTTTATCATAAATAAATAAGATTGACTGATTGTTGATTGGTCAATTGATTGACTAATATAATACCTATGGTATTTCAGAATACACAAATAAGATATTATATACTAACCAGCTTAAATGTATATTAAATTAAGTGAATTAACAACAAATACTTTATGTTTAAAGTGATTTTTTGACTATCGCAGAATTAAGTAATTAAAACAGCAAGAAAATAATTACTAGTAGCTAGCTGAATTTCGAATTTATAGGGTGCAAAATTTTTTCGAGCATTTAAATCACAATTGTTTATGATTAAGAAGTGCTAAATTATAGACCTTGTCATCTTCAAGAAAGATAAATCTGATAAAAATAGAAATTGTGAGCAAATTCTAAAAACTTTCAAGCGCAAAAATGCGTAAAATACTAAAAAAATGCGAAATTATTTGAATTTTGACTTGAAGCAAAATTTATCATTCGATTACTGAATGCATAAATTTTCAGCAAATTTAAAAACATCCATTATTACGCATAAATCTCAATTTCTTGCAGATTCTAAGTTTCAACTGTGAAATAAATGACTTTAGAAATACAATTGCATAATAATGGATGTTTTTTTGTATTGCATCAAATTGCATTTCTGAATCAAATTCTGTTTTTATTTTTCTCAGATTATTTTCTTCAAATTTCTATAGCTTAATGCTAGTTGATATAACTTGTTCTTCTTCAATTTTTATGCGTCAATAAAGAAATGAAATAAATGAGGCAAATAACAAAGAAAAGCGAAAATGACCCAAAATTGAACGAAATAAACGTGCCGAAGGCGAAAACGATTGCGACGTGACGTACAAATTAACTCGTTGCATCATAAAAATTGTCGTTACTTGCGCTGATCTGAAGACTTACGTAAGAGTTATTGCTGAAGATGAAACAGGTTTTTGGATGCGTTTGCTTATTCACATGCATTTTCATACATATGTCCTTCAATACTAAAAATTCAAATTACTTTTCAAGGCTAACTTTGCAAAGCTGTTCAAATTGAGAAAGAATGCGAATTGGTGTGCAAATTATGAACTATTTCAGATTATACAGTCATTTTTATCTACCAATTGCATAAATGGTCTATGCAAATTTAATGAACATAACTACCACAGTTTTGAAACATTTTTTAACAATTTACATTAAATATATTTTTTGAGTGCCATTCGAAAAAACATCAATCTTAAAACAAATTATTTAGTAAGTTTATACTTAAAATATTGTTTTTAAAAATTTGACAGAAAGTTTAAACTACAGTACAAATTATTTTTACAGCTTAAAATTAGACATGTGCTATTTGATATGTAATTCTATTTTTGTATTTTAATTAATAATAATTAGGATGCAAATTAATGAAGCAAATGAATTCGAAATCTTTTTATCGAAAAATTTAAACTGCTTATTTTGTTTAATTATTTACTTTTATAAGCCATGGAATTTGTTAAACTTTTACAAAGAAAAAAGAATAAATTTTTAGAACTAAAAGTATCTTATAATATTTAGTACAGGTTTGGAAGTAAAAAATTCCGAAAACAAGAATGTAAGATATAGCAACTTTATACAATTTCAGATAGATTTTAGAAAGAAAAAAGTAGTTATGACAACTCTGTAATTTATTTTTTTATTTCTTGCTTTAAAACGAAATTAAATAAAAGCAATGCTAATTCTAAATTCTATTTTTTATTCATATTAGTTTCTTACGAATAATACGTAAATATTTATACAATACAGTATAATTACTTATGCAGATAAATATTTGCATATTTGTGTTACAATAATTTTAGGGGACGGTTAAACTTTTTTGTGCTATTTTTCGATTTTATTGCTAAAACAAACTGCTAAAAAAGTAGATTATTGATTTGATGATAAAAATCATAAACTTTCTATGAGCAATGATCGTTACTGTTCGACGGATTGACTATTTCTTAATATTCCTATGAAAGTAACTTTTTTAATATTACTTATATTTAACCATAAACAAATAAATTAAAGTGATATATCGGAACAATTAATACTTACAGGTCACGTAATTTTCACGCTACATTACATCCTTGCAAAGTTAAAGAGGAAGAAGCCAATATTCCAACGATTACAAAAGTCCAAGTTTTTACAGCATAAAAGAAATATTTAATTTAATGGTGGAAAAACTATACCAGAACCCCACAGTATATATACTGTATAAAATGATTTCGATATGAAAATACCAAAAATTAAATTGATCTGTTCAGTACAAATTATGATCATGAAAACACAAACACAGAAGCATTTGTTTACTCAAAATGGAAGATCTATTTACATGATTACTTTTGTTGTCGGCAAATAATTCAAATGTGAGAAACTTCTGTTCCCATTTTTCGATCACTAAATTTTGAAGTCCATTTAAAGCAATACAATTGTTCATTCGTGATCTTTACGTAAACTTTAAGACTACAGCTCAATTTTATCTTCATGGAATTTAAATTTTTATCAAATTGATAATTAAAGAGAATAGAGCTGCTGTTTGTTATCTATTTTGTCTCAAAACTATTTATTGCATACAATGTAAATATTCGAGAGATATTATTTACATTGCTAGTTTGTAATATTTTTAATTAATTTATCCGATATTTGACTTTGTTGAATGTTTTGTGTTTTTTAGTGGCTAGAAAACTTTTTGACAGATCTTTATTCAGATCAGTCTTGAATAATAAGCTATATGTACGTGAATGTGTGGATGAATTCTGGATTCTACAATATATTTCGTATATGCAAAATAATCTCAAAATATTACTCTTAGATATTCATTTTCACCAAAAGTAAGTCTCTTGATGTTAATCTAAACATGCATTTGATTAAAGAGCATAGTAAACTACTGACAGAATTAAATAGAAGTACGCATATTTAATGAATATTTTTATTTCTTTTATTGATGATCACATTCGTTTTTTTCTTTACACTTTGTTTCTTGCACGATTTTTATCTAAGAATATGCAATTTGCAATTTTGTCATCACATAATTCAGTACAATTCATTTTAGGTTCATCATTTAATGCGGTGAACAAAATGGACGAGCAACAATACGATAAGATGGAGCACGTAAAGGTTGTGAGATGGATATGTACCACTTGTTAGTTCTTCTTACTGGTAAATAATTGTAATTTACACTCTTATAATTTTATATAGTTCACCAAGCAATTTGCTCAATCTTGTCGTCTTTATTTTATTTACTCCTTCTATTAGTGTTGTTTTATGTTGATAATTTAATATTGACGCCATGGGTACTTGATTCCTGTTTTCAGATTTATATTTAAAGATTTTTAAATATAAATCTGAAAATAGTAATACAAAGTTATTGAGATTAACATTTTACGGGTAATTGGTCATAAGATTGCAACAGTTATCTCTCTAGTTTTATAAATATTTTGATTCTATCTGAAAGTATATTCTTGAACACTATTTTTGTTTTAAAATTGAAGGCCATACAGTAGTCTTATTACAACAAAATAACAGTTTCTACTACTTTTGCTGCAATATATGAGCAAAATATTGTGTCATTGATTGTTATCAATTTCTAAAAATACGTGTTCGTTGAAAGTGAATTTTATTGCAGTGTTCATAAAATTTGCTGACATCATTTGGACAAGGTGCTATGTCTTTGGGAAAAATATGCAAAAGCATATCACAGGCACTACCTGCAGCTGTGGCTTGGTCTCTGATTGTCGTCTGTACAGGATGCTTTTTTTATTTACTCGCACCAGCAATAGTTCGGCAGTTTTCAATATGGGGCTACTTGATGTGTGCTGTAGATGCCGTTTTATTTCTTTGTGTTATGTCTAATTTATTTATGGCTACTGCAATGGATCCTGGCATACACCCTGTTGGTTAGTCTTCCAAGCTTTGTTCAATATTGACTTCAATTGCTTCCATTAAATAAAATAGTTCTATAATGTGATATATTTATGAAGTATTGTTGCTTTCTGCCATTATTATAAATTTTTTTAAATAATGCAGTGTAGTCAAGATTTGGAAAAGTATGCATAGCATTTAGAAAACAGTTCTTTTGTATGTCAACATGATTTTTCAATAGACTCTTTTCCCCTCAAAAATTTGATATCTATATTTTATTGCTCTAATGTAATGTAGATTTTTCAAGCATAAATAGTTTTTTTATAGCAAGTGCTGCGGAAGAAACGCAGTTAGATGATTTTCGATCACCACTTTATAAAAATGTAGAAATAAATGGCATCACCGTTCGGATGAAATGGTGCGTTACATGTAAATTCTATCGACCACCAAGAGCGTCACATTGCTCAGTTTGTAATCGGTAAATACTGTCTTATTTCTGTTTTCCTCTGTTTATGATGCTCAAAAGATGTAAGCTATATAAGAATTACTTTTATTAACTCTCAAACATAAACAATGCCAAAATTCTTGTGGTAATTTTTGGAGTTCTCAATTTGCTAAACTGATTGCATTTGCACGATATTACACAATTGTGTTTTCAATATGACAATATTTTTCTGCCGAAAAAGGAAAATTATTTAAATATAGCAACAAATGAAGATTATTTTTAATTCATAACTTTTCTATAACTGGATAAAAACCAAAGTTTTTTTATGAAATAATTGTTTTCTGCTTCAGATGTATAGACGCTTTTGATCACCACTGTCCGTGGGTGCATAACTGTGTTGGTCGACGCAATTATCGTTACTTTTTTTTATTTTTATTTTTTCTTAGTCTGCATATGGCTTGTGTTTTCTCACTGGCGCTCAGTTACACTATTTTTAACAGGTACCTCTCCATTTTTACCTATTCGAAAATGTGTCTTCATTAATAACATAATACCAAAAGTCAACTTTAAGGTCTGATAATTGGTTGACCAATTATTTTTGCAGCACTGTTGTGGCAATAAAGTTTCCAATTTTCACATAGGTCTAAAAATTTTTTATTTTAGGACAGATCTGCTAACAAGGCCTAATATATGTTCAATTGTTTTGATGGTATTATGCGTATTGTTGGCTGTACCTGTTATTGGTTTAACTGGATTTCATGTGGTTTTAGTTGTTCGTGGTCGTACAACTAACGAACAAGTAAGAGCACTTTTCCTTTTCTTGAATAATATGATTTATGTATGAGCTTCGTGAAATTTCTCAGGTTACGGGGAAGTTTCGCTCAGGATACAATCCATTTACAATTGGCTGTTGGGGCAATATACGGCGAACTCTATGTGCAAGTCAATATCCTGCGTATGTGTACTTCTTCTTGTAATGAATGTTGAATAGCGGTTTCAAGTATTTATCTTGTATGTCCCTTAAATATAATTGTGTTAATACACACTATTTTTACAGATTCTTCTCTTTTATGACAAGTCAGTTAAAGGTACTTCAAGTTTTCAGATTCGAGAAAGTGATAGCAAGGAAAAATCGAAAACTTGAGAAAAATTATAAGAGTGGAGTGCCGAGTGTGGTTTATGTACCTGAAAATTCTTTCTCTAAAGGAGGTGGTCACATTAGGGTATGATTTTATAGCTTTTTTTTTTGAATTATGAATAGTGTAAAAAGTGCGTTTTGCTGTCGTCAATTAAACTTTGTAAGACTCTATAAAAAATATTTAATAGCTTCAGATGCGACAAGTAGCAGAAGATGATCAGTCTGTTGGAACTGCAGTTTCAGTAGGCCAGTCATTTAAGAAAAATATATCAGATAGGGGATCTAAATGTAATTTATTTAACGAACAGGATAACAAAAATTCACGCCGACAGAGCGCTATGTATCAGGTTTTTACTAGTCACATTATTGATTTTACTGAGATCAAGTTCTTTGTCACTTGTATTCCTCGTTAAAAGTTACTACATTTCTGCGTCTCGTTATATTTACTGTTTATATAGCACGAATGCAGTGCTTTTTCAAATTATTGTTCACTGCAAACAAATAGGTCATTTTTTTTAAAAAAAATTTTTGAAAATTTGGATATCTATCGACTATACGCTGGTTTGTCCCATTAATAAAATTACGGTTTAATAGATGTTATTTTCGCTTATTTAGTGAAATTTAAAATGATTTTAGGCTGCTGTGGAAGAATCTATGCGTTCAGCGCATACTCAGGTCGTTCCACAATATAGTGTGAATGAAAATAATCCATCTCCTCTGGCAGGTAATGATAAAAGGCAGACTTCTTCGTCTGTTGTGGCGAATGATTTCGAAATAATCAGGTCTAGAAGTTTATTTGCAAATGTCAATTCTGATTCCACTGGTGGTTTCCGTTTTGTCGAAAATGGTGGGCAAGTAATTGATAGATCAAAACCTTTAAAATTTACAGATGCAGTACGTATTCACGAAAGTTTAAGTGCTCATAATGTCAATTCATAATTTTTGTTTTTTCCATATTTTTATTACTATCCTAAAAATTGAAAAATACTTGTAGTTTCTCTTCACTTTCATTTCCATGAATACTTTTTACTCACCGTTCATGATTTGGTTTCGAATATTAAAATATGTTAAAATATTCAAAACTAAATTGTTGTTAAAATTTAAAATGTGTAATGTAAGCTTTACTTTACTTTTCTTAAACCCAAAATTTTATTGTATGTTTTGCAGATGAATTTAACCATTTTTAGGATTATTTGCTTTAACCAACACTGTTTTTTGTTATGCTTAATATTGCAGTATGACAGCGCTGTGTTCTTTCCTTTTTTTTACTTCTTAGCTTTCAGTTATTCTGAAATACTTGTAGTGTCCGTAGTTTTTTCTCGATAATTGAGAATATTCGTTGTAAATTGTTGACAATACTTTTATTGTATAACAGTATTTTTTTTTAAACATATTAGGTATATTACGTGTATTATGCGCCTAGAAAAGTTCAGAAAATAGTAAGTCCAGTGTGGCATAACTGTAATATATTAGGCTTACATATTTTTACATGAGCATTCTCTACTACTTTCTTAATAGTCATTATATTTTGCCTTGAATATTTGAATTTATGAAACTGTTGAGAAAAATTTTTTTCACGTATTTTCTTATAATTTTTTTGAGTAATATTATGAAATTTTGAAAAACAAAAATTATTAATAAGCACAAAAATAACTCTTTTGCTTGATGTGTTGCTGATACGTGTAATAATGAATGTCTTCTTGCTCGACTCATAAAATAAAAGTAAAAAGTATTAGTGTTTGCACTGGGATATTAAAGTTTAGGATTCTTGAGCTTATAAGAATATTCATTCATTATCAAAATGTGTCGTAAGCTAACAAAGTTACTGCAAAATGATGGGCTTTACTACGCATGTATTTTATAGAGTTTTGTGAGCTTTATTTTTTCAGTAATTGTAATATCTCTCTCTAACTTTTCTTGATGCTTCAAGATTTTTGATTCGTGTCGAAAATGCTCTAATGTTTACACTGTTATAAAAGTGAAAGAAAACAACATACTGTACAATCTGTAATGGCTAAAAAGTAATTGAGATTAGAGTCAGCTTGCGTGTGCACAGTCTGACTGTTATCATCATTATGCATTCCATATTAATGAAGTTTTATCATTCAGTACTTTGATAAGTATATTTTTTGTTGCTCTTCATGGTGTTTAAATAATGTTTTAGTTGCAATATATTTTGATTCATTTCTTAAGCTTGATAGGATTTAAGATGCACTCAAAATTTCACTTTAGTTATGTTTAAATGGTACTATTCAAGTTCTTGTGGACAATTATTATTACAAGTACTCTTTGTTCTTAAGTGGAACAAAAGATGATAATTTTTCAAAGTAAATCATCTCATATAAAGTTAGTACCAGCATTTTTTCAGTTATAGATAGATCACTGTCTCGTATTTTCTATTTGTTGTATTACTAGTCAGTCATTTGCGAATATCTTTTGCGATATATTTTATCCCTAACGTCATATAGCTGAAATTGACGTACTTGATAGTCATTTGTTTTAGAATCAAAGAAGTGATGTGGTAGTTTGAGTTCATTTTGGTAATAATGGACATAAAATGGTAATATAAATTATGAGCTGAAGGGTTAATTCTTATTGTATATATCATATACATTTGAAATATAAACAATGAGTATTACGAAGAGGTTAATCTTCTTTGCTGCCTTATTGGTTCTGCCTAGATTATATTCAAGCACTCTGCTTGTACTTGTCGAGCGCTCAAATTTGTTCTACTTATCTCGTTTGCTTCATCATCGGGATATCCATAAAGGTCATCGAATGAGATGCTTTCGAGTGTCTCATTGAATGCTATCGATTGGATATATGCCTTAATATTATCAAATATATTGTTTTCTTTCGCGTAGTGTATACAGTAGTTTTCATAGATAGGTGCAGTAATCCTGTATTTCACCATTCTGAGGTATCTATACCTTGTATTCCTTTTAAGGGCACCGCCTTATCAGCGCATACTTCAATATTAGTGGCTAACTTTGCTACATTCACTGCTACCATTTCAAGGAACCTCTGGACTTCATGGACTATAGATTTCATGACATTGTAATCGATTGTGAGGAGCTTGAGGTCGTTTACAAACAGTAAATGGTAATGTTGCTGTTGAAGGTGAGTAAAATTCAAAATTCAGTGCATTTATTTTTGAGTTCCTTTGATTCTCTTGCCGATACCTCATTGGTAGATTCATTAGCTTTTCAATCTAGCTAGGTTTTAATAAGTGAGGAGCAATAGAACACACCAGCAATTGTAATTTTGCTTGCGATTTACATAATTTCAGTTGCAAAAATGCGATATATTGTTGTTGAGTTACTTATGTAAGTTAATTACTGATGATTTAGGATTGTCAGGACAAGTACTGTCCACACAGCAATATTTTATTCTGGCTATTGCGCTACTTTTGGTATGAGCAGAGTAAGAATAGTATGTGACCGCAGTACTCATTGAAAATACAAATTATGTTTGGATTTATCTTTGACTGTATTTTTTACTTATGCAAATTCATAAGAGTAAACATTTTTATCAAAAAATTGAATAATTTGCATAATTTCTAGAGTTTACATTGTTCTGCAAGTCAAGAAGAAAACAATACGCGTTATATATAAAAATTCTTGAACTGAAAAGTTAAATATTTTAAATACTTTTGAAAATGGCATATGAAAAGGCTGGAGAAGATACTACTGTGTGTATACTAATCAGATTTATCTTTTTTGCGAGCAGAGAAAGAAATGGATTTGATTAAAACTCGAAGGACAAGATAAGCTGATAAGGCAATCAGAAGGATGAAAGGAAAGACCAAATCTAAAAGATAATATTGTAAGAAATTCAGATTTGCACTTGATATATCGAGATTATGAACACCATGAAATTTGAGAACGAAATTAATGCTATTTAGGAATCGATCTCGAGCAGATATTGGCTTTTCTCGGATCATTTCTGCTAATCTTCTTGAATTGTCTCCAAATCTTTAAATAATTTCTATTTAAAAACCACCAAGATTTGACTGGTTCATAAATGAATAATTAAATTATCATTATCATTTAAGAGTATGATTTGTTACCTCTTCAGTAATACATTATTTTATGTATCAAAATTATCTCACTTTTTATTGTACAGTATTCTTCGTAAGGCAGACTGCAGAGATATCGCATTTAAATCTTTTTTTTTGATTACAATTGCGATTTGCCGTTTTTCGAGAGCTTTTGCATTCCTTGTTTGGTCAGCAAGTAATGGTATGCAAATTATTGGTACTCCTGCATGCACGGCTTCCATTATGCTATTCTGACCACAGTGTGAGATAAGTACTCGTAAATTTTTATGGCCTAAGTAATAATAATAATGACTAATTATAATTATAATAATAATAAATATTAACAATATTCCTGTGAGAATAATGCTAATTAAATTCTTCTGAAATTTTACTGGAAAGATATCCTTTGCAAGATTCATATATACTCGGTCTACTTGCGCACTGCAACTTATCCTGACTTAAAAATTAGTAATGAAGTAGACTTCACTTGAAATTTTTAAACTGTTTATTAGTTTATGTAAATCTATGCATTGTTAAAGCCCTAGTAGTCATTTTTTAAGCATAAATTTTTTCTGGAAGATTAAAATTATTGCATTCATGAAGCTTCAGTAATGTCTATTACATAAGATTTTCATATAATTGATGTTTTTTGAATTGTTACAAGTACAGGTAAAAAAAATAATGCACCAAGTAGATCATTTTGAGGTACCCATTCCATTTTGACAACGTTCGGTATATTATTCGCCACACTATCATTGCCTTCATATTTCCATATGAACAAAATCTGTGCAGTAATTTTTTATCTACAGGAATTACCGAATATTATAAATCGGTATCTTTTAATTATAATTTTAGATTGGATCGGTATCTTTTAATTATAATTTAAGATACTATCCGAACTCAGTTAAATATTTCAAGAAAGAAAAAGATGATATGAAAATACCAATGATAATAATTAAGATTATAGTATACTTCAGGAAAAGATTCAAATGTCCTCTCAAAGCATTCTTTACCAGCTTGACTCATATATTTGCTTCGCGCATTTGCGCCAAATGATATTAATACTGCGCCATTTACCGATTCATTCATTAACTGACCATAAAACTGAAAATAAAGTTTTCAGCTATTAAGCGTAACTGATTAGCTGATAACTTTTAAGGATAGAAAGATGAATCTTGCAAAGTTTAGATATATTTAACTATCTTTTGTAAAGTAAATTTTCAGTTTGAGTAATTTTAGGCAGCAAATTATCGTCAAAAAAATTACAGTATTACAATCGTAAAAGGTTAATTTATACCTGATCAAGATTTTTTGGCTTATTTACTGCTATCCCTCCAATAAAAACTACTTTCTGGCTCATAAGTCTGGGATATTCCAGAAGTTCTTCACTGTTAATTAATGCAAATGAGCTATTTTTTATTGCCATTTGAAGAATCTGCAGAAAAAAAGTAATTACTGGAGCTTTAGTTCATCTCAAATGACAAAAATTAGTCTTCAGTATGAACTTCTTGTCTAATCATGCTATTAATTAGTATCAAAGTTATTAATTTTGAGCTTCCAAGTGAAGTCAGCGTAATTCAGGGAAGAAAAAAAGAATTCAACTTCGTGACTCTGCGATATTGAATGATCCTTATTTAAACTGCTCGCAATTGTTATAGCAAAATATCTACTCATACAGTAGATGGCAATGTAGTGCAGAAAGTTGTCTAATCTTTCCAAATAAGTCATTTCATCGCTATTTTTGCTTACACTTACTAAAATATAGTCTATTAAATTCTTTTTTGTCATTACTAATTATTAAGTAATGTATTCTCATGTACATATTCACTACAATAGTTTACGCCACATTATTTGTTGCAGTGCTCGATATTTTCGATTATTTCAGTAATTATTGAGAATACTTTTTTTATTATTATTTGTTTTCATTTATAAAATTAATCGGTAATTATTAATAATACTTTATTATGCTATCAAAAGTATTTGAAAAGTTCTAAATAAGCACAATTTTTCTGACATTTATGTTTTTGTAAGTACTTGATTTTTGATATATCTGTGCTAGTGTAGCAAGAAATATAAATAATTTTGGTTTGGATGTGATGATATCTTAGAATTTTAGGATGAAAGAGTGGAAAATAAGCAAAAAAAAGTACAAGATAAAATGTACTGTAATAACCTGGAACGTAACTTGGATTACTACTAACTCCTAAAGGATCACTTATCACTTCCATAAGATTAAGCGAATAGCTAGAGATATAAGCTTTGATTTCCAGCTTTCTAAATAAGGCATACGAACAAAACGAAATTAATTCTGTAATTCCCAAATCAAATTTTTCTTCTCGAAGGTTTTCAATAAAATTTTCATCAGCCAACTGTTCTGAAATTGCTACAATATTATTCATTATTCATTTATTATAATACAAAATTTTAGCGAAAAAAAATTGCAAATAGAATTATATTTTGTATGCTTTGTTACTGTTCAATTATTTCCTTTGCACTATGTAGATTTTGTGTATTGTCATGTTAAGAAATGAAATAAAATCATAACTTTGCAAGAATTCATTTGCGCTTCGATAATTGTTTTGTACAACTGAAAAAGAAATTCATTAACTGTTCTTTCAAACATTCAAATTAATAATTGAATCTACTATGAATTAAAAAGTTTACTGAAAAATAATTTGAAAAGTTTTTTCAATTTTGAATGTTTTCAAAATTTTGAGTGTTATAAAATTTTCAATTTTAGCAGCGTTAGTTCTGTAATATTAGCACTTTCCTTTAATCCAAAGCAGACAATACTCATACATTCAATACAAATTTGCTTAAAAGTATCAAAAAATAGACACTTAAGTAATTGTTTGAAATTGAAAAACAAAACGAATTATTAATAATTACTTTAAACACATCCCACAAGTTAGTTTCATGAGTCCAAATTCTTTCTGCAGATATTGTAAACGTATTTTTTGAAGGTTTTAAAATAACTTTTGCTAATTTTGTACCGTTGTTGTGCACATTACTATTCAAATCTGACACTACAACAACCTGTAAATTTGAAATTTTAATCCCGCGTAATATATTATTTTTTCTTGAAAAAACTACCATGAAACATTACTAGAAAAAGTAATTTTGTTAGCAATGCCTTTCGGCAAAAATGAATAACTCAATAACCTTAATCAATTAAAAATATTTTTTCAAAATATTCCAAGTTTTTATAAATACTGATATTACCACATTGTGGCCAGCTTGAACTAATATATCTGCCATTCGTCCCATAAAGTTTACGTGACTATATTCAATACGTGGAGAATAAACTAAAATTTTAGCACCCAATGTGCAAATAACAGTTGACGTAAGTACTACGTGAATAATTGGCAATAGCATATCATCAGAAATCGTTTTATACTTTGCCTGAAGTTGTGATGCAACTAATAAAAACACTAATTTTGTCATGATTAAGTCATTAACAGTTACATTAAAATTGCACATTAGTTCTTCAAACAATTAAAATTTCGGAACTTTCTTCAGTGTAATTTTGATTTTGGTAAGAGTATAAATTTTTGAAGAAAACTTTGCCAAATTTTTTAAACAACAAATAAGTAATAAATAAAACGTAATTCAAATACACAAAATACTTTATAAAGAATTACTAAAAAATAAAGTGCTAATATAGAGCATTTTTGAGGTTAACTTCCTGACAAATGTACAATTTATTATTAAAAAATGCCTGCGCTTTTTTGTAAACTTTTTTCAATGCAACAAATTGTTATTTTAACACAAACGTTAACATATACCTCAATTTTTATTATGTCACAATTATTATAAATACCAAAATATTTTGTTAATCGCAGTATTTGCATGGATTTGATAAAAATATTGATAGAGAAACTTCTGTACTCGAAATGTGATAACAAATTGATACCAAAAATACAAGCAGCGAATCAAATAGGACAAAAATTGACAATCACTCAAGCAAAAGACTGTAAATTGGAAAAGAATCATGAAGCAAAGTGTAGTACTGATGATAATGGCTCGTTTATTTTTTTATCAGTGTGATTGATAAAAGTGAATAGTACAAAGTGATGCAAAGGTAGAGCTAAGTATTTTTAATCAGTAAAAATATACCTTTTTCAATTCAACAATTTGATTAGCCACAAGTTCAAGAATTTAACTTGATTAGTTGGTTAATCGGCTGATCGATTGTTTGATCGACTGATTGATTTATAAAGTTAATTTAAAATTAGTCTAATTTTATTATGAGTAATTATTAATACATTGAATACCTAATACAGTGTTTTAAATATATTGAATAAATTACTTTTTTTGCAGCAATTTTAAGATTTAAAGTCAACTTTTAATAGCTGAATAAATATACCAAAAAATAAATAAATAAATCTTCAAAAATTTGTAGACAAACTTATTTCTTTTAGAATAATTTTCTTAAAGTAATCTTAATAATTTGTGTCAATCAAATCAGTACAGAATTCCATGCAATAGCAAGCAAATAGTTATTATACTATTTCACGACGATCTTTATTTTCACATTTATATTATTTTTGTATATTTGAAGGACATCTTTAAGCTTTATCACAAACTTATCGAATTAAAAATAATGCTCACTTATATTTATGGCTGTCCAATGCTTATTAGCATATTAGTAATAAGCAATAATTTTGCTAAAATAACGATTATTTTCATTTTTATAATTTGTATATATATATATATATATATTCACAGTCCGATTCGAAAGTGCGAGACAATGAAGTTTTTACATTTATACCTTAAAAATCAAATAAATATTTATCTTAAATGGATAATAGTTTTAAATAAACAAATAGTTGTTCATACAATTTTATGCCAATTTGTACACGCATATTTATATTTATAACTTTATTACAAACTAAAGATGAAGGCTTTTTTTAAGAAAAATATTCATTTCACTGTTAAGACTGAGACTATGAGGTAAAGTTTTACTCAAAAAGCATTTTGCAATGTTAGAACAATAGATTTTTGATTAATTTATTCGCAGAATTATAAATTGCAATTAAGTTCGAATTTAGATTAATTTCAATTGCTTCGATCAATGCATTTGTTGTGCAGCAAAAAATGTTTCCATTTAGTACAGTTTCAATCACACATTTTAGCCATTTCTTTTAATTATTCGTTACAAAAATTTTTAATTTTGAAGTCTAATAATTGTTTTATTATTTATTTTCAAAAATTGATAATGCGAGTGAAACCTTTCTATTGCGAAGGAAAAGACGCATCAATATGAGTGCGAAAATACAAATTATTATTAATTTCTGAAAAACTTTTTGTCAAAAATTTACTTAATTTCAAAAGTTTGCATTTGCAAACTTTGTTGTATCCTTCGCAAACAATTATACTATTCGAATCAATGAGTGTATTATTAATAAAGTTATCGTACGTCAAGCGAGTACTTTACTTATTTATTCACCTAATGTGTTGTGACATTCTTTAATGATATATCGACGCCTAATATTAATAGATCGTTCTTTTTGATCAATACATTTGTCTTTGTAATATAAGACTTTTTATGCCTTGCAAGAAATCTTTAGTCTTCAGAATAGATTCAGCACAATTATTGTCTTCTAAAGATTTGTGAGAATAATTCTTCTGCGTAGATTTATATACGAGCTACCTTTAACAAAGATTGCCAAAATTTCCTTTCCTTCAGAAGATCATTCGTGAAGGCTTCTTAAAAATTAAAGTACTCGCACAGAAAACATATATATATATATGTTAATTGTTGAAAAATCTAATTGAGCGCAATCATGTCATATATACATATATCTTCTGAATATATATGCGTGACATGGCCTGGCACTTTATCGAACAAACTTTTTTTAAATGTCTAGCTAGAATGCACTCCATCCCTCTGTCCCGTAGAAGAAAAAACCTTAGCAACAACTTTACCCGAAAATTCACATTAACCATTCGAGTTTCGTTAGCTTCACATCTAATTTGTTGCAAGCATTTTACTTTATTTTACTGCGAATTTATTGATTAGTTTTGATTGTCTTTCTCTAATACTTTTTAACTAAGAATATGTATAATTTTGCTCCATTACTAATTTGTAAAATTGTCAATAGATCAAAAGTCAATATTTAGTACACCAATACACTCTCTATTTCAATTTGCTCATTTATAATAATCCTATCTAATAATATTAATAAATAATAGTAATAGTAATAATAATTATTATTAAGTACTATTATGATAATAATACTAATAATAACAATAATAATAATAATTATTATTATTATTATTATTATTATTATTGTTAT